CATTCCAGCCTGGGGGACAAGAGTGAAACTGGGGGGGAAAAAAAAAAGACAAGAGAATCTTAAAACCAAGAGAACGCCTGGTCTCTCTCTCTCTCTCCCCGTATATATATATGTGTGTATACATATATGTGTGTATATATATATTCTTTTTCTTTGAACCGCTATCTGGCTCTTTCACTAGGCTCAAGTGCAGTGGCACAATCTCATCTCACTGCAACTTCCGCCTGTCCGGTTTAAGCGATTCTCCTGCCTCAGCCTCCCGAGTAGTTGGGACTATAGCCCTGGACCACCAAGTTCAGCTAATTTTTCTTTTTATATTTTTAGTAGAGACGGGGTTTCACCATGTTAGCCAGGATGGTCTCGATCTACTGACCTCGTGATCCGCCCGCTTCAGCCTCCCAAAATGCTGGGATTACAGGTGTGAGCCACCGTGCCTGGCTGAAAGCCTGATACATCTTTCTACCATGGCAAGAACTAGCAGCACTTTACCCAGTATGAGACCAACACAGGTCAGCCTTTATATATATACACACACATACGTGTATACACACACACACACACACACATTAATATATATCTGACATTCCTTTTTTTTTTTTTTTAGAGGGAGTCTTGCTTTCTCGCCCAGGCTGGAGTGCAGTATCGCGATCTCGGCTCCCTGCAAGCTCCGCCTCCCGGGTTCACGCCATTCTCCTGCCTTAGACTCCGGAGTAACTGGGATTACAAGAACCTGCCACCATGACTGGCTCATTTTTTTGCATTGTTAGTAGAGACAGGATTTCACCGTGTTGGCCTGGCTGTTCTCAAACTCCTGACGGCGTGATTCCCCCTCCTCGGCCTCCCAAAGTGGTGGGATTACAAGCGTGAGCCACCGCGCCCGGTCAACACTCTTGGCAACAGTCTTGTGCTAAGAACTTGGGGGACTTCAGAAAGTTCCTGTGTCCATGGTAGGTAAACATTTTTAAAAGAACCTTTTTATTTATCTTTTCATATATTTATTTCACTCTATCTTAACAATAAGCTGTATACTTAATAGGTACACGTCAGTTGCCTTTTGGTCTAATTATCAGACTAATACAGTCATATCAGATTCTTACCTTTATGATATTGCTCAGGAAGATTAGCTGAAGTTCAAGGCAGGAGCAACTTAAGTAGGACAGATCTTTGAAAGATTTTTTCAAAACCCGTAGGAACAATAACTCAAGTAAGGTAAATCTTTATAAAATTCTAGAAGATGTGTGTCCATAATTTAGGAGGCCAAAGACACTTTTAAAAGAAGGAAATGAAACTCTATAAAATTTGGAAGCCTCAGGAAGAAAGTCTATAATTTCAATGTGATTTCTTAATAATAGTATTTTAGAGAACCAGTTTACAGCTACCTTTAGACAACACAAAAGAAGCTCACAAGTAATCTCCCAGGAGATGACATTGAATAGATTGGGAGACCAAGGAAGATACTTAACTTTAACGAGTTTAAGTATTATACATATTTACTTTCAAGGTGTTCATTTCTTTAAAACAATGTGATGAAAATGTAGCATAATAGGAATATATGCCCTATTTTAGAAGTATGGCAAAGCAGGCTGTTCAATGCAAAATTGTGAGTGAGATAATTTGAAGCTAAGAAAACATAAATACAGTATGAGCCCACATACCATGAAAAGTTAACAAATAGGGAAGGGAAACAGCGGGGAAAACCCCAGAGCATTTAATCTTATTTTATGGTGGCATTCATGTACTGAAAAGAGTGAAAGAACAGCCCCCACACTTCCAGAAATGAGTCAGTTTCATGTCTCAAGCTGATTATAAACCATTCAAGGGCGGCAGCCTCCCACAGCTGACTTTAACTGTGATTAGAATAGAGGATGGTCGTTAGTTTGGGCATGCCATATGTGCCCTGAAGTCTCAAAGCCTGATCATCAGGTAAACTTGAAGTTTCTCTAGGACCAGCTTACAAATAACTTTTCATATATGTATCCTGAAAAAGACAGCTCATCAACAGGCCGGTCACATATGCTTAAACCATACTCCAAACCATTTGGCATGCACTAGAGCAATTTTACAAGTTTAGAAACTCCATCTTAATTTTAAACCACTTCAGTTCTCCAATCCTTTTCCCATCACAAAGAAAAGTATTCCATCTGATGAACGTAGGTCATACTGTTTCGTACAAATCCCCAGACTCTTGTGAGAATCAGAATTTTTATCAAACAGTATGGATTCAGGACTACTTATGGTCTGAAAGAGGACAAAAAAAGTCCTAGTTAATGTTATTGTCTTTGATTACAAAGCCCCGAGCGGAGGTGCTTGTAAAAATGATTTTTTCTTATTTTTTTCTTCTTTAATAACACAAGGGATTTAATACTTAGAGATATCCTTTTAATCCTTCCATTTGAACAGAAGTTTATTTATAATACCTGTAATTTAAAATTTCTGTTTGCAGGGTGAAAAGATTTTCTACATCTTTCCTTGACTAGAAGAAGAAGTCCTGAAAAAAGGTATTCCCAGTTATGTTGCACATTTTCAGGTATTTAGATGCAGCTATGAAATAACTTTTTTTATTCTGTGATCAACTTTGATTAAAATAATTGTGATAGTATCAGAACCACAAGACAGTGTGTTCTCTCTCAGCTGGCAGACAATTAAAAACAATATATATGGGATATTTTTATATTAGGTATATCCCAGTATATACAACAGTTTACTAAAATTATAAATTGTAGATTTAAAACATTGCAGGCTGTGATTAAAGAAAAAAATTTCTTCTTCACGAAGTTATCATCTTATTTAAAACAAAATGTGGAAACATTTCCCAGTATAATTTATGACTTCCTATTAACAAACAAATACACTTATTTGTGGAAAATTAGTTGAAAAAATGCAATGTTGAATTTAAGATAAATAGAAGTTAATATTTTAAATAATTATCTTTTTCCTGAGCTCAATTTAACCTGTTAAACCTCATTTAAAACTGATACATTTAAAATAATTGTAATGGAGGATTTGGAAAGAAAAATCCTTTTCCTCCCACACTTACAAAGAAATGCAAACCAAATTAAAAGAGCATGTAACCCAAAGTTGCATAGTGATATATTCAAAAGGAAATTTCGAAATTTGAAGATGTGGATCATAATACCAGAGTATATGTGTTCATTTTTCACAGTATCTCCTTAGCTTTGCTCTCAGAGAGACAGATTTTAAAAGTAAGCTGAATTATTAAGGCTCCAGGATGTTTCCCACTCCTACCTCCACTATCATGACAATAATGAAATCTACTCCAATACAAATTCACATTCCGTTTTTTCCTGGAATGTTTATGGCAAAATTAAATTTTAACTTATTTTTCATGTGAAGTAAAAAGTAAGAATGGTCACTATGCCATTTCATTTTTCTTCCAAAGAAAAACAAATACAGAACATAATTAATCCAGGACAAGTAATCCAGGATTAACATAAGTGGCACTCCACATTTCTGAAATGTCCTCCAAACTAAAGGTTTATAATGAGTGAGACAAGAAATTATAATTCACTCTATCAAAAATCTGAAGAGGGAGGGAATATTTTTGCTATGCACAAGCTGAATCAAGTTAATGAGGCATCTAACATTGCAAAAAGAACGTTGTCTATAAATAAATTCAGTCTGATTGGGATGTATTAGTTGTCTGATAATATTCTGTAGCCTACAGATGCTTTGGGTGGAATGTAGATTTCTTAAAAGAGAAAGGCCAACGGAATTACTTCAGCAAAACTCCAGGTCATTTTCTTTAAATGGCATTAAAAGAACATGTCCCTTTAAAACATAACTTTGCAATCACAATAATATTTTCAAAGTAATACATTTAGCATAAAACAAAATAGGCTCATCAGCTGAAATCCACCGGCACTTTAGAATCTGGAAAACGTATCTTCTCGCTCACTCATAATTTTTTTCCACTGAACTCTCTCTCTTAAGGTACTACTCATGGGCAACATACCTAAACTCTAGAGAAGAGGAAGAACATGCACTTAGAGTCTCTGCTGTTGCTCAGCCTAGACCTAAACCTAGTACGTGTACTCACGCTTATTGTTTATGGGAGGGCTAGACTTTCATTAATGAATACAAGTTATTTCTGACGAGTTACCAGATGTTCCTACAGAGTGGTGAGAATCTAATGATTCCTTTGAAATTTAAAGTTCAGGTTAATGGAACTTGTTTTTTTAATAGGATTGTAGAGTCTAGAAGTGGAATACATTTTATATTGTCTATTCTGTTATCTCCTCCTCAGAGAACTCTTAATTTGCTCATTTACTCAAATTTATAATAACGCTGAAGATACGTCTCCTTTAAATCCTTTTCCATATATTGAGCATAAAATTACTTTCATTTTTATCCTTCTGAAATTATTTTAAAAATATAAACTGTATGAATCTTTACTGAAAAAAGCTCAAAGAGTAGAGAAAGGTATGAAGTGAAATTAGAAGTACTCCCTTTTCTACACACCTAACCTAAAATTTTCAACTATTAACACTTTCTTGTGTATTATTTCAGAAATATTTTCAGAATTCTGTGGATTCTCAAGGAGCTTATTCTCATGATCATTTCCTCACATCCTGTTTTCCCTGAATTAGCTTCCATGCCTTATTTTCCCAGGCTTCCTTGTGTTTTAGAATGAGTCCTTGTAGGAAAGGTTGGCTGGTTATCTCTCCATCTACATGGAATCAGGGGATGTGTGTATCAACTCTTGAAATTCTCCCTTAATTTTACTGACAGATTTTACAGGTTTTTGACTTGCAGTTCTGGGAGTTTTATGGACTTTATAGATGGTATTGTTTTTCTATCATTTTATTATTTTTGTTTGTTTTATATTAGTGTCAGACGGGAGTAGAATAATATCTTCATACTGACATCTTACACTTAATAATTACCTTTATTTTCTTGGATAAAAGTTTGCCAAATTACACATTTTTGTTGTTCAGAAGTTCTCTCTAGCTATACTCAACTCACTTACTCTTTTCTCTCTTAAATTCTTTCCAAATGAAACCCCAGATCTTAGGGTTGAAAGATATTTTTAAAGTATACAATCTAGCTTTCAACCGATGAAGAAATCCTTCCTATGATATTCTCCATAACTGTTTTCTATTCTCTGTTGGACAACATCAAGTGATGAGAAATGCACTGCTTCATGACATGTGCATTTTATTGTCGGCTTCTCAATAACTACCTCTTAGTGCTCCTAGGTACACCTTCTTGAGGCTTACTTGATGAGTCTAATTTGTCTTCTGGCACCACTGTGAATTTGAAGGCTTACGTCTTCTCTGATCGTATGTTTTCTACATGTCAGGGTAAAACATTTTTATATATTTTAAACATTTGTCAAATGTAATGGCTGTCTATCCCTTCATGATTTCAATTCATTCAACAAGTCCTTCATTGAGTAGCTACTATTTGAAGGGTCTATACTAGATGTTAGGTCTATAATGACTATAAAATTATTCGAACCCTGGAGAAGTCCATCTTGGTCACTAACAGTTTCCACCTTCCGGTCTAATGCAAGGGGCTCAGTAGAGTGTAAAGTAGCATAACATGTTTATTTAAATATTATGAGAATAAATAGGATTGCGGCCAAATACATTTATTGTCAGGCCGACTATTTCAATGGCTTCTGTTTCTATTTAGAACAAAAATCCAAATTTCTTTTGGTGATCTATTAATTCCTGTTTGATGAGGCCTTTGTCACCTTCTACAGCCTCATCTCTTACTGTTCTTATGCCACTACTACACTTCAGGACTATTAGCCTTTTGTAAATTCTTCTAACAAGCCAGCTTTTTCTTGACTTGAGGCTTTTGCATGTGCTCTTTCTTTGGCCTAGAAGACCCTGAATTTGCTGAGGGTTTAATGCATATTTGTTGAATGAATGAAGGAATCAATCAATTTAAACATAATTTTCTCCCTTTAAATCCAGGACTTCACAGAACTTTTAGTATATAACTAGACAAGCTAAATTTCTAAGAGAATGATATAGTATGTAATGACTCCCAGATTTATTTGACCATAGTTTTTTTCATGCAAATCTCTAAGGGCAATTTATCATGTAGAGACTTTAGGAATTATGGCAGAGTGAAAATCACATTTGAATCCTGGCTGCCACCAACTAATTGATGTAATCTTGGGCAAGACACTTAATCTCTCACAATCTCCTGTTTGTGCCTCTGACAGAGATCAGCAGAATCTACTTTTATTTTTCCAGGTTTCTGGAAAAAATAGTAAATAAAATAAGTGCCAGATAGAAATTAAAACATTTTATTTCTAATGAATGTCAGTGAGAGGACAGAGCTTAGCATGAAAGATAAATGAATCTGCAAACTGGACCCCAGAGACAGGTATTGATGGACTATTTCAGGCTGCGCACAGTTTTTTCATTTATGAAGTATTCTATCTGTGGCTGGAGAATATTGCCCACGGGAAACTCCAGCCCAAGTGAAACGTTTTACACCATTGCAAGGAAAGAAACTTACTAATGGGGAAGAGACATTTTATTCTGTTTTCTCATGTGTACAATGTTGAAACTACCCTATCATACCTGTTCTGAAGAGTAAGTAATTTATGTGGAGGACCTGGAATACTTAACAGAGGCTACTTTGTAAGCATCAGTTCCCTTTCCTTCTGATTTTACACATTCAAATACCTCTCTAGGTACAAATTGAAGAACTCGAAGCCTTCAAACTAAGTCCCACTCATCAAATACTGAATCTAAACAAGTGTTACAGAAAGTAGGTTAGAAGCCATTAGTAAATTTAAGTGTAGTGTCCAGAATTTTGTAGTTTTCCATATATCTGGCATCTGATCTCTCTAATGTACACCCTAGGCACCAAAGTTCCAACTAATAAACAGCTTTTTCTCACCTTCCTTGGGTTTACCCAATTTAGACAATTAAGCTTCTGTTTTATATCTTGTTTAGCACATGATTTTCATTCTAAAATTATTTGTCCTAGTATATTTGTTATTTAATGTGATCTTGATCTTCTTAATCTCCATATCTGTGGATAGTTAGAAAATAGTTTTGAGGAGGAGATGACATAATTCAACTGTGATGTTGAATTATGATGAACTGGAAAAGTGGTAGCTGGTAGATGCTGATGGTGAGTAGTAGGTCTCTATTCAAAAGTTATCTCTTTCAGAAAGGCATTTATGACCATCCTATCTAAAATAGCTCTACATCTTAAATCACAGTCTACCTGCATGCTCTGTTTTCTTTTTTTTTTAAGAAGATATTCTCTGCCGGGTGTGGTGGCTCATACCTGTAATCTCAGCACTTTGGGAGGCCAAGGCGGGTGAATCACCTGAGGTCAGGAGTTCGAGACCAGCCTGGCCAACATAGTGAAACCCCATATCTACCAAAAATACAAAAATTAGCTGGGCCTGGTGGTGGGAGCCTGTAATCCCAGCTACTAGAGAAGCTGAGGCAGGAGAATCGCTTGAACTTGGGAGGCGGAGGTTGCAGTGAGCCGAGATGGCACC